AAAATATCACGGTCCGTCGCTCACCGCCGTAGGAAGAGCCTGGCCGCGGCGATTCACGCCGTCGGGACGGGGAAAGACGGATGCTGTGAAGCAGGTACATCCCCAGAAAATATCTGGGGAACCATTTCCCTGCTGGTTTAACCAAAGCGAGAACCTCGCACCGTGAAACTTGTGACAATGTTAAGGATTTCACAGTACAATCTATAAAAGATATATTTCAAACACCCAAACACAGGCAAATGATCAAAATAATCACCAACTCCCACTTTTCTGAATGCAAGCAAGGTACTAAAAGGGTTGCCCAAGGTCTGGTTCTGCTTATTTGTGTCCACAACGTGGAGGATGGAGCTTGGTAGCTTAGGAGGTGACCCGGACTGAGGGGGACCACAGGCGTGCTGGAGCAGAGCAGCTGGGTAAACTGGCGAGGTGGGAATACAAAGAGGATGAAACCCAAGAGTTGAGTTGAAGTTACAGAATCACAGAATGTTTGGGGTTGGAAGGGACCTCTGTGGGTCATCTAGTCCAACCCCCCTGCAGAAGCAGGGTCACCCAGAGCAGGCTGCACAGCACCACGTCCAGGAGGGGCTTGAATAACTCCAGAGAAGGAGACTCCACAACCTCCCTGGGCAGCCTGGGCCAGGGCTCTGTCACCCTCAGAGGGAAGAAGTTCTTCCTCATGTTCAGCTGGAGCTTCCTCTGCTTCAGTTTGTGCCCGTTGCCCCTTGTCCTGTCGCTGGGCGCCACTGAAAAGAGTCTGGCCCCGTCCTCCTGAGATCCTCCTTACAAACCTGCATGACTTTGGTGCAAAAATACCACAGGGCGCTTGCGGTCTGCACGCTGCCAGCTTGCTCTGGGTTCGGTTTTGGGGTAGACAGCTGGACGGCAGCACGCGTGGGATGGCAGCTCTGCGGGACTCGCCTGTCCTCGAGGACCACACGCAAACCGCCCGGATCCTCCAGGACAAACAGCCCTGGGACGAGCTGCTCCGTGCGCCCGTTTGCGGCGACTCCTCCTTCCTCGCAGCCCAAAAACCCACCTGGAGGCACCAGACGCGGCACGGCTCATCCCTATCCCACGCTCACCTCCAGTGAAGGCTGGGGTGCTTGGAATACAGGGAGCTCAGTGAGGAACCAACCCCTCCGAGGAGGCTCGGGATACGACCTGCCGGAGGGAGCAAAGGGCTCAGAAGTTATAGGAAAGCATCAACGTTAAGGCTGAAGAGCAAAGCTCTCCACGTCTCAAGCCAGAGACCTGCCCGAGGGACAGCGGCTAGATCAAACAGATCCCTCCTAGCAGAAGGGATTTACTGCTGCCCTCAAGCTTGGCATCCAAAAACGCCTCGCAGCTTGGGAAGGAAACCTTTTCTCCTCCAACTTAAGAGCGTCTAAAAATCCACCTGTGCCTAAACTCAAGCAGAACAAGAAGTACCTGTGAATTGCACGATTGCTGCTGGGCTGGCAGAGAGGAGAAGCTCACAGCACGTTTCCCCCAGAAAAAAAGGCAGCGGACAGATGATGTCCTGCAACCATTCCCTTCCCCTCTCGGCTTCTTAAACAAACCCATCGGCTGAGAAGGACTGCGCTTGGAGCAGAGGCTGAGGGCGGCAGGCACAGACGACGAGGAACGCCTGGAGGAGCCGTCAGCAGCTCTGCGAAAGGAAGCAGGAACCCGAGGGAGCAAGAGGATGCCAACGCTTGTGAGATCAGGTGCCAGCAAAGAGGGGAGCCCCTCCGTCTGCAGGTGGAAGTGGGGGTCACAGTAGTGTAAGCAGCTCCCTTCTGTGAGTGGCATTAGAATCACAGAATTCCAGCATGGTAGGGGTTGGAGGGGACCTCTGTGGGTCATCTAGTCCAACCCTCCTGCCGAAGCAGGGTCACCCAGAGCAGGCTGCACAGGGCCTTGTCCAGG